GGTGGTCCAGTTTCCACCAAAACTTCTCTTTTTAAGCAGAGCTCGTGAAAAAACGCTAACCTCCCCACTTGCACTCGCCCTGGAGAAACAAAGCAAAAGCCAAGAAGCAAAGAGGATGGGTGAGGGACACAGCCGAAACCCAGGTCAGGAAGAGGACGGCCCCCACCGCTTCAGCTCCCCAAAACTCACGCGGAGAAGGGCTGCAGCTGCCTTGAAGCTCATGTGGGCGACAGACTCCCTCTTCCTGCGCGGCAGGCGGCCGTGGCCCGAGCGGAGGCTGTTGAAGGACGCCAAGGAGACGACGCCAGGGGTGAGCGGGGGCAGGACGTGGTGGGGTGTGTGAGGACGCTCGGTCTCATCAGGATGACGGAAGGGACGGCCCCTGGCCAGCGGGTCCACAATCTGGAGGAGGGAAGAGGCGTCGGTGCTGGGAGAGCAGCGAAGGGAGCCCGACCCCGCACCTCAAGCTCTACCTTGGGCATCTTGGTGGGTTTGGGTGACTCGGTGCCTTGGAAGGAAGGGACCTCCTGGCTGGGCAGCTCCATGTCGCGATAGGCCGGCTTTAGCTTGCCGTACCTCATGCTGCAGTGCTGCAGGCTCTTGCGTTGCCACTGCTGCCGCTTCCCCTCCCAGTCGCTGCTGACACCAAACCATTGCGCCGTGCCCCTGGACACACCACAGGCATGCTTGTCACCCAGCTGGTCCACCCTTCCACCCAGGTGCCCCCTCCAGCAGGTGGATTTGGGTTGAGGTGTCTCAGCTCAGCCCCCAGCAGGGCAGTTTTGACCTGGCTATGGGTGCCAGGGAAGGGACGCTGCAAAGGGATATCTCTGGAGAGGTAACTCCACTGAGACTCGCGCCTTGCACAGGACAGCGCATCAGCTCTGGGCTGCAGCACACGTCCAGCTTAAGGTGCTTGTGAAGATCCCACATAAACTGGGCTGAGAAAATCCCCCGATGCACAGAACAACAGCTTGAATTAGCACTAAGCAACCCTTCTGGGGGCCAGTTAGCTCAGTCAGTTGAGCATGGCACTAACAACGCCAAGGTCGCGCGTTCGATTCCCGTTCGGTCCCCATGTGTTGCCTGATCTAGTCGAGAGGTGGCATCCCTGGCGACAGGGAGGCTGGATTAAAATGACCCTACCAGCTCAGGCCTTTCTATGATTCTAAAGGACTATCCTCAGGCAGACACCGTCAAGCTAAAGCAAAGCCACACAAAACCCTCCTCCAAGGCATCCCTCAACTCTCCATCCCCATCCCAAGTCCTCTGCCCACTACCCACAGCCACCACACCCCAACGGGGACTGAGGGACCCCTCCAGTGACCCAGGGGCTGCTGGACACCCTGCCCTCCGGCCACCGCTTCTCCTCACTTGCGGATGCTCTGGGACAGGGACGTCTGTCGGCGGGAGCCGGGGGGGGGGTCCGGGGCCGTAGCGCGGTTCCTGCAGGCTCTTGCTCTTTCGGTAGATGGGAACCTTGGACGGCTGGAAGGCAGAGCAGGGCGTCAGGGACATGGGGGCATTTAGGGGGTCCCTAAGGATGACACCCCAGCCCAGCCCAGCACAGCTCCCTGCCTCTTACCTCTTTGTGAGCACCATCCTCCTCCGCCTCCTGGGGGGGGATGACAATGGAGAGGTTGGGGGGCTTCTTGCTCTGCAGGCGGCTGCTGCTGGCATGGCTGCCCCCATTCTTGTCGCTGGCTGACATCTTGGGTGGGTGGCGGTCGGCAGGCTGGGAGGGTGCGAGGAGTCAGTGAGAGAGGAAGAAATATCTCCTCAGGAGTGTGTGTGTGGAGAAACGCCAGGTCCCAGGTCCCAGCAGGACACCGGTCCTCAGCAGCGGCACCTCAGCACCCTCAGCCTCCTGTGCCACCGGCCGTGCCGCTGAGACCCTCCC